GGGGGGGGGGGCAGAGAATTGTTCAGGAGACGAGGAGGAGAAGGAAATGAATGAAGGAGGACATGGAGGGGTATTGAGAAGAGAAGGGGGATGGTCAAGGAGCAATCCTGTCCGTGCTTGCTCACCGTGAACGATCGCGGGCTCCCGTTTAACAGCAGGCGGATGATGATCGAGCTGCAGTATGGCAGAGGGAGAGAGAGAAACAGGGGAATCCAAGGGAACCTTCACAACTTGTAAGCGATGGAGAGACGGTCGAAGGGGGTGGAGCGAGCAAACCTGAGGAAGAAGCAGTATCCGACGATGAAGGAGAGGAGCAGCGAGCGCGTGTACAGCTTGTCGAAGCTAGAGCTTCGAAGGGCATCCAGAAGAAGGAGGAACGAGGATGCGATGGTAAGATCCAAGTAAAAGAAGATAACGTGGACGTGCTGCGGAGATCTGATGAGCAGGGCGAGGAGGAGGATGGGGACCGTTGCGCATCCGATCAAGACGCCCTGGTCGACTCCTGCCCGGTACATCCTAGAGAAGGAGACCCGAGAGCCGCAAAGAGCACCGAGGAGGAGGAGGAGGACAAGACAGACAAGGTCTGGCATATGCTGCTTGACTTGCGGGGTGTGGACCAGGAGAGCAAGGCTAGTGCTCATGGCGATGATACAGAGTAGCATCTCCTGCCAAACATGAATCCTTTGAGGAGTTGGTAATGTCGGCAGAGCTGCTGCCGCCGCATCCTCCTCCTCCTCCTTCCCCTCCCTTCTCATGCTCGCCACTCTGTCTCTACTCTTTGTCGTTGAGCAACCCATCGGAGAGGAAAGTTCAACGCCTGCGCGGCTCAGAGTGAACCTGAGGCAAGTTGAGAGCGCAAGGCAACTACCGGCGAGGAGCAGATCGATAGTCCCTGGCACAGGCTAGTAAACAGCGACTTATTGGATCGCTAACTGCTTCATGACGCAGTATCGAGCGATCCAGACGGGGCGACTGAGTTGCACATCGATGCTGTCAGGGTCTGAAGAGATAGAGGTCAGTCAGTTAGACTCTTCAACAACAACTCCCATCTCTCAGTGTGCTGAGTTGATCCCTCTGACCCATTCACGTCTCTGGCAACTCCGCTGACCCGGCAATGATCAATCTATTTGCTCAAACCACTACCACTACAATTGAATCTCAACCAGCTCCTCCATCTCCCCCTCCATCCCCTTCATGTTCAGTTCTATCTGTATCTCTCCATGTCTTATTGTTTTCTTCCTCCATATCTTCCTCCTTTTTCTATACCTCTTCCATTTCTTCCTCCTCCATGCCCATCCATATTGTCGCCTCCGACCAACACCACGTCCTGACCATCATTCCACTCCATATTCATCATAAACACCATCGACACCAACAAAAAAGCACACCAAAAACCTCCAACCTCACCATTATCCACGTCATCACCATCACCATCACCATCACCATCACAATCACAATCACAATCACAATCACAATCACAATCACAATCACAGTCACAATCACAATCACAATCACAATCACCATCACCATCACTATCACTATAATCACCATCCGTTCTTCTCATCTCTGCTCTCACATCGTCTCTTGCCATGACAATCGTCCATCACTCTCGACAGCTGCATTCATTATCACGACAGTTCCTCCTCCTCCTCCTCCTCCTCCTCCTCCTCCCTAACCCTGCCTTGCATGATCCCGAACTCCTACACCTTGATACATCTACCCCTACCCTCCGAAATTCTAGGAAAAATAGGGGTAGAAAATGTGGATTCAAGTCCGCCCCAGATTGAAATTTCAGAAGTTTTTCACGGGTACTATTCCCTACAAAACAAGCACGAGGGGGGTGGGGTTGTCGAATCTTGCGTCCCGGAATGATGGGAGAAACCGTCGCAAGGAAGAATGTAACCGCTGCAATACGCTGGGGCCGCTTCATGCCTACAAGGACAAGAGACAGTTTCTGCTTCAATGCTGCGCTCCCTCTCCTTCTTTCCCCCTCCTCGCTCTCATCGAGCCTGCAGCATCGTGTCCCTTGATCATGATTCCCACACTCATCCTTCGCTGCTGCTTCACTCCTCATTCTCACTTGTGTCTCAGCTGCACCAGTCAGAGGAGGATCTGTCCACCTTAGCTCCTCTTCGGGTGCGTCGTCAAAAAGTCACAAGTCTCATTATCTTGACACCCTCACCCTCTTCTGAACATTCATTCTCTTAGAAATTTCCACGAGAATCACCTCTTCCTGTCTGTGAGTCAGTCAGTGTCGTCGAGTTGATGCAAGCTATGGAAGCGTCTCTGAGTGAGGAGGAGTCTCTTGAAGCTGGAAGAATGAAAGCGAGTGAGTCAGAGAACATCGAGATCGTGCGGATCTTGAGGAATCACAATGCCGCATGTATGAAACGAGGGTGGTCGGAATCGATTGAGGAAGGGAAGGATTAGAGAGAGACCAAGAGCGGAAGAAAAGAAGGCATGCGATGCTGTTGTAGATCTTGTCGATGTAAAATAATATCAAAATTAGCAAACGAATAAGCCCAAATGGGGAAAGTGGCAGGTGGAAATGTACAAGGCTGACGACCATCTCTTTTCGAATTCACTTCTTTGTTCGTCAGGGAGTGGAGAAGCTTCAAGTCAAGATTAAACGTGTCAGAGTGCTCCAACTGCTCTGCTCAGTCTCTGTGCTCGTCGTTGCGAACGCGGCACTATCCGGGAGCATGGAAGCACCAGAGTGGCAACGGACTCTGCGGGATGAGCTTGTTCAACTTGGTAAGGAGGCCCAAGAGCTCACTGGGAGTTTCTGCCCGAGGATCGAAAACCCCTCGGCCCTCGAGTTCCTCAGAGACTTCGTGCTGCCCAACAGGCCCTGCATCATCACAGGGGCCATGGAAGAGTGGCCGGCGAGGAGGCAGTGGAGCAACGAGTACCTAACGGGCAGGTTGGGAGAGAAGAAGGTTTCAGTGAATGTCACGCCCGATGGTCGAGGAGATGCGATCGTTGACGACAAGTTCTTTGTCTTGCCTGAAGAGCGGCTGATGACGTTCGCTCAGTTCCTTGCCGAGCTGTACAGGGAGGGCAACGATGACGTTTTGTACCTGTCACACCAGAATGACAACCTCCGGTCGCAGATAGGAGAAGCTCTACTAAACGATGTCCCTCCTTCAATCCCTTTCGTTGATGACGCTCTTGGCCACGGACCTGACGCAGTGAATCTGTGGATGGGAGACTCGAGGTCAGTCACGACTCTGCACAAGGACCATTACGAGAACTTGTATGCTGTGATCCGCGGGGAAAAGATATTCACCTTGTACCCTCCGACGTCTCTGCCGTTCCTGTATCCTCATCCCTACGGCATTCGGAGGTACCGCAAAGAGGGAGGAGCGTGGAGGATTTGCGAGCTAGGAGAGCAAGAAGGTGAAGAGGTCAAGAGTTGGATCTCGGTGAATCCGAATGCTCCGGACTATGACAGGTGAGGCTTCTGCTGCGGTGATTGCAGTGTTGACAACTCAAAGCAGGCATCCCTTGTTCGAGGTATGACAATCAAGGTATGGTTAGAGTGGAGTTGAACCTTGCGCAGTTTGCAAGCAAGACGCAGGTCAGAGTGAGGCCGGGAGAAATGCTTTACTTGCCCTCCATGTGGTTTCATCAGGTACTACCTACTCATCAGTTCGGTCGTCACATAATGACCCAGGTAGAGCAGTCTGACGACACGGTTGCCGTCAATTACTGGTGTGTTTATGACTCCTGCGGGTACCGACATCATTTTCTTCCTTTCAGGTACGATATGGTATATGGGGACAGATATGCGTATCACAAGGTATGGAACACAAATCCAATGAAATTGCTTTGACGCATACATTTGAAGTTCATCGAGAGTATGGTCAGACAGGCTCACATCAAATAAACATCCTTTACTCAAAACCAAAACATGAAACCACAAATTAATGGAATCTAATAGCGATTCACAAACATCGGCTGTCCCATCATCGAAGGATAAGGCTGCGGAGGCATTGAACCAGCAAACTGGTTGGGCACAAACGAGGTCTGAGGGCTGGCCATGCCAGAGGCGACTGGCTCCATGCTTTCATCCGTGTGCATGCTCGACATATCCTCAACCTCGTGACCCATCTCCTCCAAGGTCTTGCCCTTGGGCTCTGGGATAGGAAGGGTAGTGATGAGACCGAGAACATTGACAATGGTGAGAACGATGAGCACAGTCTGCAAGCCAGCATTGTGGGTAGGAGTATCCTTGAGGATACCAAACCCATAGGAACCAACGATCGCACCAGTCTTGCCAGTAGCAGCGCAAATACCGTGAGCTGTTGCACGGAACCATGCGGGGAACACCTCAGCAGGCAAGATGTAGGTGGTAGAGTTGGGCCCGAAGTTGGCGAAGAAGAAGGTAAGAGCGTACAATCCGATGAAGTTGGAGACCTGGTGAGTGTCGATGAGCTTCTGGAACATTCCTGCAAGAATTCCCATGAACAGAGTCATGAAGAAGAAGCCCATGAACTGGATCCTAGTACGTCCAAGGATCTCGATGAAGGCAACGGTGAACCAGTATCCGGGAATGATAGAGGCCATCGAGATGATGAGCTGAGCTCGAGCAACGTGGTAAACCTCGTCAACAGCATTCATGGTGTAGGAAGGAGGGAGCCATCCGACAATGGTGAAAACATCAGCCTGGAACAACCCCTGCGAGTAGAAAGCAATATCAAGAAGGAACCAAGAACACGCGCATCCAAGAAGGGGGAGGCCGTACAATCGAAGGAAGGAACCCCAAGTGTGACCCCTGGCCTTCAAGCCAGTAGCTTGCACAACGGTTGGATCGTCAAGTCCAACTTGCTTGGCTGCAGTCTGAGTATCTCCCTTCACGATAACCTCGTACCTCTCAGTCTCAGGGATCATGATACGATAGTACAAAGTGATAACTGGTGGGATGCAAGCGAGAGAGAGGGCGGTTCTCCAAAGAAAGTCTGCTGAAGGATCAAAGGGCATCCAAATAGCTGCGAGAATGATGGTGACGATTCCAGCAAGCAAGAATCCGAAGCCCTGGAAGGAGAACACTGCAGCCACGTAGGTTCCACGCCACTTGGTGGAAGCAGTCTCACTCATAACGGTGGCACTGAGGGGGTAGATACCTCCGATTCCGAGACCAAGGAAGAAACGCCAGAAGCAGAGAGTTCCAACAATGGCATCACCAGTGGTACCGAAAGACATTCCAGAACCCAAGGCGCCAATGATCATGATGATCATGGTCGCAATGTGAACAGGTCTGCGTCCGATCAAATCAGCCATGTGACCGAAGGTGAGCTGTCCAACGAGGGTGCCAATCAAGGCAACAGACTTGAGCGCGTAGGCAGAACGATTTGGGAGATCACTGGGGGCATATGGAAGAGCATGTTGAATCTGTTGATCAACAGTCATGTTGTTCCAGCCTTGCACGTTTTGAGAAAGCCAAGTTCCGAGCCCAGGATACCCATCCGAGCCTTTGTTCCAGTTCGAACCGCAGTGATGAGGGTTTGGCTGCCAGTTGTTGGCAGCATCCAACTGATAATAAGTCGTAACATTGCCGAGTTGATTACAATAGGCAGGATGATAGTAGCGGACATCTGGGTAGTAGATGCGTCCCATCAACTTGGTGAGAAGACCAATCACAAACAAATCGTAAGCATCAGTCATGAAACCACCACCAGCAGCGATGATGGTCTTGATTATTCTCCAGCTTAAGAAAGCTTCGTCTTCATCGATCTTGCGAAGGATGGCCTGAGCGGCAGCCTTGCTAGAGAGATGTTGCTTGTGAGGCTGCTGTTGATCCCCTTGCTGCATAGCAGCAGGTGGAGCGGCTGCGTAACCAGCGAACATGCCTGAAGTCCACTCAAAGTTGGTATGGGAAGGGCTCTCGGGAGTTATAAAGACAGGAGGAGCGGGGCAGAGGTGCGAGTAGCAGAGGACGGATGGCAAGGTGGATCCTTTTGTGGGGAAGGAGGAGACGTAGATTGGGGCGTAGATGTCGAAAGGATCTCTTTTCGTGCCAGAATGTAACGGGTCCTTTTTTGAGGATGAAGATAAGATAGGGGTAAAATACCTAGTGGAAGGGGGTGTCTGACGATGGGGTGGGGTCATGGACAGCAATGGGGTGCGACCACGGAAGGGTGGGGCAGGATCAGGGAAAGGGGGGTTACTAATTAGTACTGGGGTGGATTAAGTTAAGTCATGAGGGTGGGTGGTTGGGTTCTAGTTCAAGTGGATGCAAGGCAGTGTGCAGATTGCTACGGGTAGGGTGCATGAAGTTCCAAAACAAAGGGGTCCTTTCAGCTTCATGCAAAGGAAAATCCCGGGTAGGGGTTCCTTCTGGCAAGATCAAGGGTCCTAAAAGAAAGAAAGAAAGCACCGGCGTGAATTGTAACTGTCGTTTTGTCAGAGAGATGTTGCGGGTAGTCTTGGTAAGTGACAGGGGTTTGTAAGGGGTGGGTATGCCACCGGAATTGGAGAACAGTGTAGAAATACAGGGGTGGGTAGGTGAGAGACAGGGGTGTAATCAGGTCTATTATAGGAGAGATTCCGACAAGATAACATCTGAGCTTTATCAAATGCGTTCGTACCGTTTTGAGGCGATCAGGGGTGGGTGGCCAGCTGGTCCCTTTTTCGAGGGACGAGAACAATCCTATGCAGGGGCTCACACCACCCCCACCGCAGTGCCGCCACCGTTCAAGTTGGCTAGCTAGTAGCATTGACGGGAGCTTTTAACAGGATTGGCATGGGGTTTGGGGTTCAAGGGCCTGACCCCTCCTCTTCAAGCACTCGTGTCCTCCCCCTATCCGTGGCTCTGCCCGGGGGGGGCTGCCACTCTCTCAGGGAGTTGACACTGATGCCTGACCCCTCCTCTTCGGGTACTCGTATCCTCCCCAGGCCGCCGCTGTGCTTGGCCACCGTGGCACCGTGAAGCCAACACTAGGGGTATCATGGGCAGACTCGAATGACAGCCGCCCGAGACCTAACGGTCGCATACTGGACTCTGCCCGGATGCCGGGTCACGGTGGGTAGGGGGGTGGGTACTACGTGACGGCCGGTCGAGCCTGCGCGTCCCCTTCAAAAACTGAGTACCCACCTGCCGCAGTGGGCTCACCACGGTCCGAGGGCCGCTGGTCATGTCCCCTTCAAATGACACCATTACTACCCCCCTTGTCATTGCGGTAGTACTACCCATATGCCAGGGGGGACTCCGGGCACCCGGCGCCGCCGCTAAGTAAAGTAGCCTCTGAGGAGCCGGTCGGTAGTGATCGGACTGCCGGGGCGGCCGGGTGGGGTTGGCACACAAGGGGTCGGAGAAGTCCGGGGGCGGGGATTGAGGCCAGAGCAACAAGATAACCCTCAGGGACTCTTGCTACTCTGAAATGATGATTGTACCGGCCTTATCTCGGGGACTTGACCTTATCTTGGATGTCTGTAGCCTAGTAGGCTTGTACTGCTCGACTCCTAAAATGATCCTGAGCCCCTTGCTCTTAGGCCCTTATCTTCAGCCGAAGTGCCTTATCTTTTCCGATCTTTGCCCCTGAGGGCCTGGCTCGGATACCGTGACCGTTGAACCGGAGTCCAAAATCGGAAAGGTATAAAAGCGCTTCAAGCCCATTTATTTTTAGTTACTATCATGACCGTAGTACGCACCGGGCCCGGGCCTCCGAGGGCCGCCGGGGCCGCCTCTGCGGCTCGCCGGCCCCGGCCCCGCCGCTCCCCGGAGTCCGGGCGAGCCCGGCGCCGCGGCGGCGGCCGCCTGCCTGGCTGAGAGCCGCGGCCGGCCGCGCCGCGGGGGGGGGTCACTGTCGGAGCGGGCCGGCCGCGGCGGCCGAGCGCTGCCTCACTCACGGCCGGCGGGGGTCGGTCCGTGACACTGTCCGATCACTCGGACCGGGGGGACCGTTACGGTGGCCCCGGGCGCCGCCGGGCTGCGCCGCCGGGCCCTGGCCCGGGGACCAAGAAGAGTGCACGTGCTGTAAGCGAAAACCAGTTCAGCGAAAACATGTCGGTGGAGATGAGAATAGGCGAGTGAGAAACATTGAGAGCAAGGATGAGACAAGCAGCAAGATACTGATACTCATTGATTCCAAAACAGACAATGCAGTTGTCGTCACGAGACACTGTGTGTATGGCGCATGGGGAGCTAGATGGGGGGAGTCGTGGGAAACGAAGTTGTCAATAGATCTCTTTACTCAAATTTAATAGATCAGTGGAAGGTAGAGGAGCGAGGAGAAATTAATGCAGGGAGCCATGTTCGCCTGATTGTCTTTTGATGGTTGAAACTAAAAACAGGCATACAGACAACTTGGATGGCGACCGAGGCCCCGAAGCTCCCCAAGACGCCAAAGGAGAAGGACACAGCGCAGAGGCTGATAGTCGTGCTAGAGAAAGCATGTCTTGAAGCTGTCAAGTCAGGAAACTCCTACGAACTGCTCAATTGTGATGATCACGTGCACCTTCTTAAAAAGTTCAAGCGAGATCCTGCAGATTGCAGACCTGACATCACCCACCAGGTGCCATGACGAGCAGATGCGTGTGAAACCGCGATTGACTCTCTGAGTTTCAGATGCTCTTGACACTCTTAGATTCTCCTCTGAACAAATCAGGAAAGATGCAAGTATACATTCATACCGAGAAGAATGTTCTCATTGAAGTCAGCCCACACATTCGCATACCTCGCACCTACAAGAGATTTGCTGGGCTTATGGTGCAACTTCTTCACAAGCTTAAGATCAGAGCTGTCAATGGACCAGAGACTTTACTCAAAGTTGTGAAGAACCCCGTGGAGGCTCACCTGCCGACAGGAGCAAGAAGGTTCTGCTTCATCAACTTGTTCTCTTCCTCCTTGTGCTGTTGTTTCCCCTGTCTAATCACTTTGCCAATGATTGACTGACAACATCCTTGACGATTCACTTGGGGTTTGCAGGATCGGAACGTCCAAGACCGGAAAGCTTGTCAATGTCAATGAGTGGGTGAACACTTTGCCCAAGGAAGGGCCCATCGTTTTTGTGCTGGGTGCGATGGCGCATGGCAAAGCTGAGGTTTCATACGTGGAGGAGTACATCTCCGTGAGCTCATATCCCCTTAGCGGCTCTGTTGCTGCGGGCAAGCTGTGCAATGCCTTCGAGAACATGTGGGGGGTTGTGTGAGAGAGAACGATGGGAGAAGAAGGGAGGGAGCAAGCACGAGTTGTGGTTGTTGTTGTTGTGGTCGTTGTTTGAAATGTACAATATTTTTTTCCTGTATGTCAACTTGCTCCTCCGCGTGCTTCATGACGAAGTGGTCACCATCCTCGGAACTTGAGCAAGCTTTGAAAGAACATGGGCGGTTCACCATTGTTCAGTCGCACATTCTGGTGGAACGAAAGGCTTCAGTGCTGGGTTTCCTGTGCATGTGTATTCTCACCCTGTTGATGACAAAGAATCTGGCGTAGCACCAGAAAATCAAGGTGAACAAGGAGACTGCAGCGAGGCAGTCACTTCCGATAGAAACAGATGTCAAGAAACAGACCGAGCAGAAACGCAATGCCAACGAAGAAGATTGTGAACTCTCCGAACGGAGGGCTGTAGGGTCTCGGCTGTTAAGCGATGTCACGTTGTGGATCAATCATGCAAGGATCATGACCTGCTGTAAATCTCGGACCTCAACGGAGATCGAGACGCCCGACTGCAGAGGAACGAGGTGAGGGAGCAGGAACAACAGCAAGATTGACGACAGTCGGGGCGACGTAATCCGACGAGTTGCCGACGTATACGACCTCAAACCTCTTTGCTGCAGTGCAAAAGTGATTCAGAATGGCGAATCAACACCAAGATCGAGACCTCTGACTCGATGAATCACTGGGACAGCGACAGTCTGACGACAGTCACTCCTTACATCGAAGAGTTTGAGACCTTGCAAGTGTCAGGGCGATTCGTCTCTACATCGCTATCGCTCAGACAGCTCTCACATGAAACAGAGTTGCCAGAAGAATCCTTGACGGTCTTGATTGTCACCTTACCACCGTTGTAGAGGGTCGAAGACACGTCTGAGACTGATCAACAGACATTGATCCTCCAATCAATCAACCTTGCTCTATGTAGGTAGCGGGGACGTCCATCGTTCTTGGCCGCACGTGTCATTCTCTCGCAAGCACAAGTTGCAAGCTCGTTGAGTCTTACTCGAATCTCGTCTCAACAAGAATCTCCTTTAGGATCCCAACCTTGACACCCAGTTTGTGAATGATAGTTTGTAATCCATCCTCATCATACCTCAATTTGACCTTGGATAGCAGTTCTGCTAATGTTGAATGCCCTGCTCTCTCCCTCATCTTCTGTTCATTTTTTCGTCCTTGCTAACCTGACACTTGTCGAGAATTTGGCGTCAACTATCCAACTTTCGATCAACCCTGATTCCAATGTCTGTTGAGCACGGGGGTGACGAGAGCCGAGCATCTATCAATATCTGCAAGACCTGATACTTGTAGGAGAACCTCGGCCGAGCTTTCAGCGGCAAAGTATTGTAAATCTGCAGCTCCTTCAGAACCGAATAAGCTTCTGGGAGTTTTGCTTTCCTGAGCAGCTTGAGGAAAGAAGAAGGATGGAATCTACAGAAATTCAACTGATTGCAGGTCACGATCACACAACAGACTGACTTGAAAGGTGATGTTCAGAAGCATCTGAGCATTCCAAGCCAACGGAGGAGGCTGCACGTTTGGCAAGAGAGCCTGGGGAGGGTGAGGAGGCGATGGAGCTGAGAAACACTGACCGTGTAGTACTGCCACATCCGAGGGGTGACGCTCATCATGTTGATGGTCTGCGGGTTAGGTCATGCCGCATGTGTCGCCGGCAACCGCACCTGCAGGAAGCCGTCGTAGCCGAGAAATCGAGGATCCGGCAGCCTCCCCCTGGACTTCTGCACTGTTGCCAGCGACACAGGATTGGATAGTGCTCCTATGCTCAAACTGTTCTGCGGTCATACAACATGAGAGGTGAGGTAAATAAGCATAGACAAGCTTGACACCGGAACACAAGTTTGCATGGAGATGTTGTGAGCTTTCTGTCGAGCTGGAATCAAGATCCGCATGTTCGTTACCTGTGATGCTTCAGATTAAAAGTATAGGCTTACAGTGGGTCACCATATCCCGTTGATCCGATTCGATCTTGTTGTAATTCAAGACAGGCCCGATCGTCAGATACAGGCCCAACAACAACGACAGAACAACAGAATCTGTGAGTGGCTGCTATTAGCAACATCAGACATCGCCGTCCTCTGGTACATAGAACTGTCGCGAGTCGTAGAGCTCCTTGCTTGATGGTGGCCACATTCAAGAACTGAGCTGTAGAGCCTTCCTCTGGTTTCACCGACATACCTCCTGCTCTTTCACTCAGCCCTGAGGCTCCGGCACTGCTTCAAGCTTGTCGATGTTCCAAGGTATCACGAGAGCAGGAGAGCAATCACATGGACGGACGTCTGCTACCAGCGCTTAGGTCAAAGCCTTGTAGATCCCATCTTTGCGTCTTCCTACCATTTTCCTCTGCCTCCTATCTCGCTCTCTTCCCTCCTAAGCGGCCACACACGCTTGCCTGCTCTCAACCCCGTCTCTACGTCTTGTGCCTCCTCCCCCCTTACGCCCCTACTTCCCGCCCTCCCTCGGCATTCCCTATCGCTACGCTTTTGCCGCCATTTCCTGTCCTCAATTTCGTTCCTTTGGGGCCCCCCGGACCTCCTCCGCCCGTCACCCCTTGAGCGAAAGGCTGACGCTCAGCGGGCAGGGGGGTGCGAGAGCAGCAAGGGCGAGAGAGAGGGAGAGAGAGAGAGAGAGAGAGAGAGGAAGGGGAGCGGGGGGTCCATTGCCCGAGAGAAGTCGGAGCTCTCAGCAGGCAGTAGGAAGGGAACGAGTGAAATCACCGGGGGTACGCTTGTTCTGCAAGATAGCGAATCGTCGTCAACCTCTTCTTCTCCACCGAGCAGAGCAGTGGAGTGAGCATGAGCTTTGTCTTGGTCTGGAGACTCGCGCCCCCCAGCTCCACGAGGAGGCGGACGAGAGTCGTGTGCCCGTTCGACGCTGCGATGTGGAGAGGAGTGTATCCTCGAAGGTCTGTCTCGTCCACAGAACATCCCGCAAGCATCAGCCTTGCCGCTACCTGCACCC